GCTGAAGGAAAGAGTTCTGTTGATAACATTTATGGTGCCTCCTCGACGAGATAACCTCAAAGGTTAAGTCAAATTAAAATATTTCCAGCTCATTTCCTAGAAGTACGCATGTAGTCGTATTTCTTCATGCTCTTACACCGTTTCCTCTTAGTGCATTTACGTTGGTGTTTCTAAAACTGTTTAGATAAGAGTTAAACAGGAGGAAATGAAAGAGCATTTTATGGAACATAAAGTATGTTTGTGTGTATTCCCCCATTTTTGTGTATATGTGTCTTGGAAGGGCATCAAAATTTAAAGCTTAAAACTGGATGAGGACTAGAGCTGCACTATACAAGAACACGTAATATGGACTAATGCTGGTTAATAGGGTGTAAGGTGTAAAAAAACAACAGGTTGAGTATGTCTTTGGGAATGTTCTTAAGGCACGATACGTTTTGGTTTTTATATATCTTCTAGAAGTGAACAAGATGCTTTATTTTTTGATATGATCATATGTTATAAATCAGGGGTAACCAAATAAAAATCAGCAGGGTCCGAATAAAGAAAATAATCAACCAGTAAAGGTCTGGAGACATTTTTAATTATAAGCTGTTACTTTAATAAAATGCAGGTTATTATGCATTTGCATTATGCATGTTATATAGTGGTGTAAATCCAATCCATCATGGCGATTCGATTCAGTATCGATTTCCTGACCTAACAATTTGATTATTTTTGATACTCAAGAATACACCACGATTCGATTCGATTCCATTAATTGGTTCTTTTTCTTTTCTTTTTTTAATACCTTACAGGCAAGACAATGTTTCAAATTTGAAATAAATCAATGAAAGCTGTAATATTGTTATGCATTTTTTTTTTTAGAAACAACAGCAAATAACAGAAGTAGTAAAGTTGCATCAAAAAATACTACAAAAATACTGCACAAAATCAGTGCAATGAGTGCAATTTAATACCTCGTTCTCCAGATGTCCCCGCTCCCTTCATAGACGCTCCGCTGCACCTCTCCCAAATTGTAGCTGACTGCAGACAGTGCTGCAGACAGGAGGCCGACTTGTTTTGTTTTTATGACCGAAATTGCGGAAAACAACTCATGATGCTAGAAGAGCAAGGTGCGCGAGAACGCTGGGACCCTTTTTCCACCTGGATCTCCGCTCTTTTTGCCCTCATGTCCCTCCGTCGTCTGACTAAACTCGCCCCCACTTCCTCAACGCCTCGGCCGTATCTAGACCCACAGTGTGTAGCTCAGACCACGCTTCAATATTGAGCATAAATCAAAAATGTCTGCGTCAAGCTTACTGCAACACACTGCTGTAAGAGTATAACCAGGAAGTGAGGTAGGAGGGCAAAATAGGTTTAGCGCCACCGCAGCACGGGAGAATTACGCCCAGGAGCAAATGGATAAAAATAGACCGGAGGAAAAAAAACACCAATCGATTCTCTTGCGGACGTTTTGATGAATCGGATCGTCGGCTGTTGGATTAATGCATCGATACAAAACGATTATTATTTACACCCCTAATGTTATACATTGAATTTTTAAATAAAAAAGTATATAAAAAAAGAACATTTTTCCATTTTAAAATCTAAAGAAAACGACCGACTCTTAACAACCATAGACAGGTTTCAGGTATTTCAGGAGACAACCCCCCCTATAACGGCAAATCTAAAGAGTTTTTTTTAAAAGTAGGGAACAACAATCATTCAGTTTGGTATATAGACAATTACCTGATTCACATATTTTACTGACAGTTTGTTAATTTTTTCTTTCTTTCTTCTGGCTTAATGAGAGCAGTGGGCTTTATGCTGCCCTGCAAGGCTTTAAACCTGGGTTTGAATGGAGACAAAGCCATTCTAAAGCACATATCAAGGTGCTCATTTTGAGCCTGGTTCCATATTTATTTTTGATTCTGTTCATGGTGGAGAATCCTGCTTCACAGCAGCAGGTTGAGCCAAACATACTCTAAATGTGCAGGATCAGATTTGATTTAGAGAATTCGGGAGAAACAGAACTGCTGTTTCCCTGCAACTTTAACGGCGTCAGGGTCAGGAGTCTCGGCTTCTTGTGGGTAGAAGTGGGTAGCACTGCTGCCTTGAAGCAAGAAGGTTCCGGGTTCGATTCCCGGGGTCTTTCTGCATGGAATTTGCATGTTCTCTGTGGTTGTCTCTGTGTTGCCCTACAATGGGCTGGCGATCTGTCCAGGGTGGACCTCGCCTCTCCCTCGTAGACAGCTAAAGATAGACACCAGCACCGATTGCAACCCCGCTTTGGATAAGCGTGATAGAAAGTAGATGGAGATCAAAACTCCTTTTATATTGACCTTTTTGTGTAAATATATTTTGTACAACAGGTAATATCAAACAACAGAGGCTCTTTGTCACTTATGAGTCCTTTTTATTTAGTCCTGACAACCTGTTGATTTAATAGCAGATCTACCCCTGAGTCTGTTTCTTCTGCCTGCCCGTCTCATCTTTAGCTGCTCTCATCTCTTCTCTGTCAAAATCAAACCTGCTCTGGATGCCTTGTGATTGACGAGCCGTTACTGTCACTTCAGATTTGTGTGCTGAATGGAAAATAGTGACAGTTGCATCATCTGTATAAAAAATCCCTCATAGGATTCATATTTTGAGGTGAAAAGCATCTTTAAACCCTTTTAGATATTATTTGTAGTAAATGTCAGTATTAGATAAGAAGAGGCATGTTTTGATGCAATGTTTTATGCAGCTGAGTTTCAAGAAGCATTGTGCTGAGAGCCAGACCCTGGCAGCAGCAGTGACCACACAAGTATTTTGGTGTCTGACTACCCACTTAAGGTCACATAAGATCTGCTTAGCCGACCCCTAAGCCTTATTTTTATCGTACTGTCATGGGTTTGAGTCATACAGTGCGTAAAAACAGCAACATTTAAATGCTCGCCTGCTGTTTAGGCCTTCAGATCTTATCGTCACAGCATGAGCTTCATGAAGGCGCTCTTGTGTTGCCTGTGCCTCCCCTCCGCTCAGTTTAAATGCATCAATGATAAACCTTTGTTATGTGTAGGGTTCAGTTGTGAAAGACTTGGAAATAAGTTCCAGATTTTAACCATCCAGCAATGAAGATATCTCTGTTCTAAGGAGTTTCTTCCATCCGAAATAGTCAGAGTTGCTCAGGGTTTTTTCAGTTTTATGAGGTTTGGAATAACTCTGGGATAATGAATTGCCAGGGATAACTCATTAACTTTTTGATAACTTCTATACTGAGGAATTCATTTAATTTGTAAAGTTTCTAATTAGCGAAATTGTATATGTATATAATACGTATACAATATGTTTTTTTTGTGACTTTGTAAAAACATATCTCTAAATAAATAGCTTTGCGATTTCCAGCTAGGCCAAACAATATCAATTTGGATCACTGGAAAAACGATCTACAAATAGGTAAAAATGTCTTAAATTAAGTGTATTTAACCTTGATTTGAGTCGGTAAATGAGAATGAGTATTTTTATTCCTAAAATAAGATAATTAGATAATATTCACTTGAAATAAGACAATGCAATTGTGTTTTCTTATTTTAAATGTAAATTGTCTTGTTCCATTGGCAAAGTGTCTCATTTACCTCCTCAATCCAAGAATAAATGCATTTATTTTAAGAAAAAATGACTGATGTAGATTTCGATTTTTTCCAATGGATCATAACATATCTTGATGACCTTTTCTTAGTTTAGTTTAGCTTCATCACCCTAGATTTGTAACATAGGTATATTATGAGGCCTCAGGTGGCTAACAACGCACTGGATTAATCCACAGTGGAACACAGTAGTTAGTGGGCTGAACCCAATGATCCCTACTTAAACATGAGCTTTAAAGCCAAACAGTTCACCTGCAACGTTAACCTTTCACTGGGATGTAAACCTCTCCAAGAGGCTTTTCCTCCTTCATTCAGTAAACAGGATTTTAACTCAAGACTCGAGCATGTTAATATAAGTGCTGCCCTGTGCACTTGCGCTGGGTTTATGTCCAGCTAATGGGTCAGTCACAGGAAGTAGAAGTGATAAACAAATTGTCAATAATGGTTTGCAGGAGCGTAAGTGAGGCCTTTTCTGAAGCTAAAACTAACATATATTTCTGCACTACGGTTTAAAAGAAGAAAAGGACAAGAAGTACATGTATTCTGGATCTATTATGAATCAATAACTTATTTTTATTAACTTAACTGATCAGAAAGGAGTATGTGTTAAGTATGTGTTAAAAAAATCTTGATTGCAAATATTAAATATTTATTAAGGTTTTACTTAATGATACAACCTTTAACAGTAGCTTCCCTCCTTTATGCATTACCTTATTGACCTGCTGGTTATTTCTTCTGTTTTCTATTATTATTACAGAATTTTTCTTCCTGTTAGTCAGTTGAGAGTACAATCTGTGACCTTAACTTGACACATCTATATATATATATATATATATATATATATATATATATATATATATATATAGATATTTATGTATATGTGTGTGTGTGTATATATATATATATATATATATATATAAATATATATATATATATATAAATATAAATATATATATATATATATATATATATATATATGTATATATATATATATGTAAAGATATATATATATATATATATATATATATATATATATATATATATATATATATATATATGTATATGACCAGACTATGGTTTTAAGTGTTTTTGTGTGTGGTTCCATGCCAGAAAATATTTTTTCTTTCTTATTACCAACTGGAAACATAGGTATGTTTTATAGCCAGCTAACTGGCAGAGCATGGCAGCCTGTAGGGGACTATATGCTTGACTTTACACTAACCTATATGATGCACATTTAAATCGGTTTAAATTCCTTACTTTTATATCACTCTATATCTGTAGTTTCCCCATGATGACTTTAGAGGCGCAGATACTACAGTTTTCTTTTGCTAATAATGCTTCTCCATTGGTCCCTCGCTTTAAACCTTATTTCTCTTTTCTTTATTTAAGGTGGTTCCACCCCAACATCACTGGAATCGAGGCAGAGCAGCTCTTGTTAACCCGGGGAGTCCACGGCAGTTTCCTGGCCCGGCCGAGCAAGAGCAACCCAGGGGATTTTACCCTCTCTGTCAGGTAACTTTATCCCACGGTTGCTTCTCTATTTTTAGTTCTTTCACCTGCGGCATCAACTTTTGACCTCACCATTCTCACCTATTTTTAAAAGTCCAGCTCTAAAATAATCAGCCTTCTTTTTGAATGTGGTTGGATGTTTGGATGAGGGAAGATGTTGTCTTTTAGATTTCAATTTCTGACAATTCAAATCTGACAGGCTTGTTAAAAATGGGAACAAGTCTACCTGAAACCGTTTTGACTCATTGAAAGATCCTTTAAAAGTAGTTTCCAATCTTTTCTATGATGTCAAACTTCCATCCATTTTAGTCCTTGTCAGGGTCGCAGTGAGCTGGTGCCTATCTCTGGCAGTCTACGGGCGAGAGGCGGGGTACAACCTGGACAGGTCTCCAGTCTGTCACAGGTTGACACAGAGACAAACAGGACAAAACTGCTGTAAGAGTATAACCAGGAAGCGTGGTAGGAAGGCAAAATAAGGGAGGGAGAATTACGTCCAGGAGCAAATGGATAAAAATAGACCGGAGGAAAAAAAAACTAAATAAATGAATCTATGATATAATTGGGAGGAGTGGTAGCCTAGTGGTTAGGGAATTGCGCTTGGAATCCTGAGGTTCTGAGTTCAAGCCCCACTCCCACAGACTGCCACTCTGGGTCCCCGAGCAAAGACCTTTAACCCCACATTGCTCCCCTGGTGCCCCACAATGGCAGCCCACTGCTCCCCAAGGGGAGGGTTAAAGGTAGAGGTAAATTTCTCCAACGTGAGATCAAAAAAGTTAAATTATTTATTATTATTATTACTAATAAGGCCCATATATGATAGTGTTGAAAGATGGTGCATTAGTGCAACAGATTCCTGAGTAAGATCAACCTGTGTTGCTTGGTTTTTATATCTAAAAAAATGTACATTTCTATCTTAAGCTGAAAAAAAAGCGTGGAAGAAATTATAGCAGTGAAATAAAAATAAGGAAAGCGTGAAATATCAGCCATCTTCACTGTTTGTAGAAAAGCCTACATTGTCTACATAAGCGGGTCGTAATATCTGGATGATATTAAAGATGATGCAGAGCTCAAAGGTAAGCTGCTCAATACCCAGAAAACAATTCCCAGATGAGATATTGGGCCATGTGGCCCAGACCAGACCCTGGATTCCTTGAAATCCCTCCTGTGGGTCATCTGTGGCGGGATATTTAGTTAAACTGAGGCGGTTCTATACACGTGTTTCTAGGAACATATTAGATAACACATTTGGAATGCATGATTTGCTAACATTCACAAGTAAAGAAGAAATCTTGACTCAAACAAGTGTTATTGCTAAATTTACCGGATTCGTCACTCGTGCTCTATCCTTCCAGATTTTTCTGTGATTTGAATCAAGAGGCCTGTTGTTTAACCGTGTGTGCTGTGACATTTCACGTTGGACGACTCAGCTCTACATGCTGTGGTGATAACAGAGGGCAGGAAACAAACTGAGATAGAAGAGGCGAGTCTGTGGAGCCTCTCTTCCTTGGCAACGGAAGCTTTTAAGACACACATCGGTTGGCCGAGCGCCTGGAAGAAAGCCCAGACGTATTTGTTTCTTTGTGACTGTTGCTGACATGGTGACACAGGCTTGTGGGAGGCTGAGTGTGGAGGAAGGAGGAGGGAGGGAGGAAATGAAGCAAGGAAGCAAGGAAAGGACCCTCAGCTTAGATATTTAAATGATCGGAGAGTGGGCTTTGACTTTCACCATTTGTGGTTTGCACCCTTGTGTTGAAGAGTGTCCTGAATAACCACTGGGTGGTTTGTGTTGTGAGTTTATGTCACAGTTTGTGGTCTTTACAGATTTAAAAAGCGATGCTCTCTCTAAGGTCAAATGACCAATGTAGCCCCCCCCCCCCCCCTTCTGAAGCAGAAACAAAGAGAGAGGAGGATAAAAGAGAATTTCTATTAAACCGAGTTATATAACGAAATGAAAAACACAATCCTCTGCTTAAAGATGGAAAGCTTGATTTTAGAGCCATAACATGTGTTGTCGCTCAGTTTAGTACAAGCATGCTTCGCAGTCACAGCTTTAATCTGTCTGCTTAACCATTGGATAGAAAACTGAATATTAACCAACCGCATCACTGGTTTATGCCACCATGCTGAATAATTGACCAAGATAATTGTTTATAGTACCAAACTTCTGGTGCAGTCGCAGTGTTCTGCCTAATATGCATTCTGAATCTAAAAATTTAAAAATCGCAGCTTTTAATGGTGCAATGATGTCCCCTTTGCAATGATGTTCTCAGTAACAGAGAGGCTGTGTTCGATGTTGCAGCCCCTGTCATATGGCCCGCTTCGTGCACGGTGCTCTCATCTTCCCTAACTGCCGTTGGTTCTGGCCTTAGAACTTTCCGGCAGAGGCCATTTTGCCCAGTGTCTCATTCGTCTAGTTTTATCTTGATCACTGACTTTTAGGAAAGGCAGGTGAGCTGTGCATGCTGTACATTTAGATGTGGTTCTGGATTGTTTTGTGACCCCCTGGTTGAATCATGGAGGTGGAGTAATTACAGTGTTTTGGATTATAGTTCCCATTCTGTGTCCTGCCAATGTTTTACATTTGACTTTGTCCCCCTTTTCAGCCTGATTGATGTCAAGCACTTTATTTTTCGACTCTTTTTTTTTATTTTTGGGGATGATGTGTTCCCTCTTGAGTGCTCCGGGAAACGGTGCGCTCACCTGCTGTTGTTCTGCCTGGTAGTTGACAGGTCTGCTGAAGCTAACCTTTGGTGAGCATTGGCAAATATTTACCTTACCCGTCCAGAAGGAAAGTGGGAACCTCTATTTGGCCTCTGAGGCTTCTTAAGTAAACATTAACTTAAAGCTTCACCAATATTTGAAAACAAACCGTTTCTGAGCTCTATCATAGAGTTACTAGGTTCTGGCAAAGGCTGAGCTCTGTGCCACGTCAACTCCATCTTCTTTTCCTGTTGGTGCAGAATCTATTCATGGTGACCATTACATCGTAACCAAAAGTAAATATTTACATATTTTGAACCCATCAGTACGATTAAAATAATCACTTATATAACAATAAATGAAGTAACACTTTTATTTTGTACCACTTCAAATATTCTGTGTATATATATTATTTTTGACTATATATATATGACTTTTTACAAAGGGGACCAATTAATTTTTCAAATTGCGATCAGGATTAGGGATGAAAACAATCAGATAAATCGTGATTAATCAATTATTGAAATAGGCCAAATAATCGTCAACTAATGTAATAATCGATTAATCGTTACATAGAGTATAGGGACTCTACAAATATGCCTTTAGCTGACAGAGAAACCCACTTAGAGCAGTAATTCTATCAAAGTTGTAAAAAAAAAATAACTTACATAAAGATTTTGCATTTAAGATTAAAAAGACAATACGTTTTTGTCTGTCAATATGCTCTATCCAGAACTCCTTGGAAACTGTTTAGTTTCACCTGGTTTAATTTAGTAAAAGATTAATTGAAAAAAGGATCACAGATGAATCAATATGCAAATAATCATTAGTTGCAGGCCCTAATGAGGATCGTTTTAATAGATTTTTTTTCTCATTGAAGGAAATCATCTTTAGAAAACCATTTTTGTATTTATTCCAATTATCTTTATACAATAATACCGATTACTGAAGTTTGTGAGACAGAAACAACAGCAGGCAGACAACTGAAGGTTTTAGGAAGAGTTTAATTACAACAGTGTCCTTCAGTCAAATTATAGCTGGGGTTTTAGTACTGGAAACAAAGACTTCAATGGAGGAATCCTGGATCTGCTGACCATCTTCCTAAGAAGTGAAAAAAATAGTTGATCTGCAAACCCTCAAAGCTAGATTTGACTTTGTTCCAGCGAGCGGTGCACCGGTGATAAGGAACTGGTCAACTGACGAGGTGTGGCTGTCTTTTAGCTGTAGCTTTATAATGTTCGTTAGAGGTGTTTCTCTTCAGTATGAACAACAGACTGATGGCTCCGCCTCACTCCGTTTGTAAGCATCTCAACACAGAGAAGGAAAAGGGGGGAACAACATGCTTATAGAGGTAATGGGGATAAAACGACCCTAATTCCCTTCCTATCAGTTTGATCCGAAACATTTAAATTGTCATGATGGGTTCACTGATGAGACCCAGTTATGCAGAACACCACGGAGACGGAAACAGGAGTAAAAGTTTAACAATGTTTATTGTTCACAAGCACATGGAATATTGTCTGGAACTGGTTCAGGCCTGGGGACTGGTTCACTGGAGTCTGTGTAGATAACAGAGCAGTTAGCTTTGAGAGCAATGGGGTTTGGGTTTGTGATGTTCAGATTAATACCTTGAGGGTTCCGGTTTGAGTTCAGAGAGAGGGGCTGTTGAGTCCAGAGAAGGTTTGTTTCAGCAAGGTCCAATAACTGCTTCAGCGTCTTACTTCTCATGAGGGTGCAGACCTTGGCTCTGGGTTTCCAGCTCTTAATCCAGAGCTGCATGGGAAATCCAGAGAAGAGTCTTCGGGTTTGGCTCAGAGGGCAGGCTCGGCAGTCTAAGCTCATCCAGAGCTTACAGAGAAAAACAGGTTTCCTGGAAACAGAGACACAAAAGGATTAGAATCCTAGCAGGGCTCAGAGGGCAATAAAATATTTCTCAGAAGGTTCTTTGGCTCAGGTGCTAACCAACTAGATTCAACACTGCGGCGTCGAGGCAAGGTCTGAAGACAGCTTTTATACTGTGGATCCTCTGATGATGAAACGAGCCACAGGTGCGTCGAAGGCTCGGCTCAGGAGGATCCACGGCGGACTCTGCTGGAGGAAGGTGGTACTTCTCCAGCTCCCAACAGTACCCCCCCCTCAACGACCGCCTCTTGGCGGTCTGGAAGACGTCGATGGCAGAGAGCGCTCATACTCCTCGATCAATGAAGGATCGAGGATGTAGGAGCCAGGAACCCACTGGCGATCCTCCGGACCGTAGCCCTCCCAATCGACGAGGTACTGCCAACCGCGACCTCGCCAACGGG